CTACAGAGATACAACTCAGCTTTCTATGTGACTGCACATCTAAAATGAGGGGGGATGAATACTGATGTATCACATATGTCCTCTGATCCTGGTAAGGCCAGCAAGGGACAGCTATTTAAAATTATTTTCAGTAACACAACCTTCAGACTGGGACTGAGTTCCCCATTTGTAAAGAGCACTTCCCCTCACTGAGGAGATGATAAGATCACAAGGAATTCAGATTGTGCAGTGATGAGGGTCATATTGATGCCTCAGCTAGTTGTATAAATGAGATGCTTCAAGGGAAAGCATAGGGAAGTTTTATCTTCTGTGAATCTGGATGGCAAGAACTAACCATAGATGCCTGGCTTAGAAAGACAGTTTTAGTGTCTTTAGATTGTCTCGTGTTCAGTTTGATCTTGTGATTCCCAGGGACGCCTTTGCTGCTCTGCCTCTCTTAGCGCAAACATGATTACACTCAGCTAGTCCCCAAACTTTCAACAACTCCATACTAATTATGCCTCACCATTTGAGAACAGGAAAATCGTATTTGTTTTTACAGAGAAGAAAGTTGAGGACCCCAGCTGTGACTTGCCCGACAGGCAGGCAGCAGCTAAGCTAGCCCTGGGGCTGTTGATTTCCAGCCTCATGCCCTTGCTTCTGGATCTCTGTGTAACTGGTTTTTTACTCTCTTCCTGTCTCAGCTTCCCAGTTCTCAGTGTTTTACTACAGTAAGAGCCTGCAGGCTAACAGAGATATCTTGATGTCTAACTGTTCTCGGCCTAAGGACAAAGATCTATACTCGCTGTTACAGACTCTGTGTTTCAAGGGGTTTCTTTTACTCCTCCTCCCCTTCCTTAAATATGTTTTCATCAGCAGGATGCAAGTTTGATTCATCCAAGCCATAGATTTCTTTGCCTATATTTTGAAGTCTCAAGTAATGGAAGAAGAAAATTCATCAGTCCCAGAAAAGAAAAGAAAGAATTTCTATTTACGTTTAAAGAAAACACAGCCTAGTATGTTTGGGGGGGATACCAGTTTGATTCCCGGTAAGGCAAGCAAGAGGGATTCCTGACTATGCTAACTGCTGTTAGAGCTGCTGCAGATGCAGAAGCCTAATGGCAAGTCACATAGCATGCCACAAAATGCTGGAAGGACATATGCAAATATTTTTTTCTTCTGATTGAATGCAAAATTGTGCACCTCTGAACACAAAAATATGCACCTCCCTTTTTGCCACCTGTACTTGAAGAGTTAATTTAACCATGCAAAAAATTACACTGAGTATCATTCCACTAATGCAAGACCAGGCTCTAATTAAAAAAAGAAAAATTAAATCTACTCTCCAAGGCTCAAAAAAACGTGAGGCAACTTGCAGCTTCAAAGGTGAAAAAACTCCACAGAGCGGTAGAGGGAGAGCTGTCATGTCACAAGTGCTGTATATGTAGCTGTGATATTACACATCTTCTGAACCTGCTGTCATCATGAAAAATGCCTGACAGACAACAGCCCAGATCTGGGCAGGAAGACAACTTTGTTAGCTTCAGGAAGGAGCACTGTGCAGGCAAAAAAAGGTCACATTGCACGATCAGGGCCCATATTAGTAACTAATACAGGCTAATCTCAGGATTTAGTATTGAATCTTTCCTATGTTTGATTTTGGTTTTTTTATAAACCCAGAAATAAGAAGCATCTACTGGTTGCTGTAGTAATTTAACAGCTGTTCTAATCCCATAGGATTAGTAGACTCTTTCCTTTTTAATGGTATATTTTAAAATGTCAAACCTCCTTCCAATTCAACAGTTTTTATGTCCTTGCACAGGAGAGCTATTCTTTTAAAAAATCCGATCTTTTAATACACATGAAGTAGTTTTTGTTTTATCCAAAAGTCAACAGACAAGCAACCAAAAAAAGTCTGGCCCAGCTGGAACAATGTACCAAGAACAGCTGCCAGTAACATGAGACCATTTTGCTCTGAGCCTCAATTACAACTCTCACTGTGTCTGTCTCTTGCCAGAAGCAGCTAGCCCCCTTCTTCTGCCTTTCCCACAGAACTGGAATAAAGCAGCACAAAACAGGAGGTGTTGCGTCTTCAAAACATGAGTTAACAACACACTTTATTTAGCCTACTCCTGATATTCAACCTACAGCTCCCGGCAACCTAGCATACAAAGGTATTCCTCCACAGTGCCTCTGCATCCCACAACATATAAACAAGAGAAATCCTTCACAATCACAACACGGATCCCAAGAGAATCTTACAAATTGGTTTGGGCGTACTTCTAGTAGATCATATTTCCTTAACAGATCTAGTAGACTTCAGAAGGTTTCATTAAGAAATTTCCCATCGAGTCCTAATAACACTATCTGGATCCAGCAGTAGTCCAGTAATCCCTCCACACAGAGGATGAGGACATACTTAATAATACACTGCAGAATTCTCGACAGAGAACTAGAAGGTAAGGAGATGAAGGTGTGTGTGGTGGGGAAAGTCTGAGCTGACTGACTTCAGTCACACCTTCTGCTTGTTCATAAACCTTGAACCAGCCTGAGAGCTGCCCATTGCTACAGCAGAGAGAAATACTGATTTCTTATGGCTGCAGTGCTCTGATCTGTGGACAAATGGAATAGTTGTACATGAAAACATGCCCTTTGTCATGGCAGAAACAATTACAGATCCAGTACAAGCTGGAAAACATAACTTGCATCTTCCTGGGTTGTAATGTACAGAACTACATGTCAAATCTGCACCGTATCCTAGCTGGCAGATCCTGGGAGCAGCCTGCAGATCAGCACTCTGCAGATCAGCACTCTGTGGAGACCTGCCTGCCCACAGGCACATTGCTCTGAATTCTGATTTCAAATGCTCTTGTAACTTGTGGCATCTGTGCCCTTCCAGAAAACGCTGCAGGCCAGGCTGCACGTTCAGTGTCACTCACAGGACATGCCAGCAGGTGAGGTATGAGGAGGGGACTAGGTCTTGCCAAGGGTGCTAAGGCCCATCCAGGGCATGTAAGGGCAAAGTGTGGGGTTGTATAGCTGCCTTTGCAGGCAACCTCTGGCCTTTCTTTCTTCCTCTCCCTCAGGTGAAAAGCCAACATATGATCATTTCTGTGCTTGTTTTATAAAAGACAAAGCAGTTGCCAAACTCACACCCAAAACCCATTCAAGAATTAGAGTTCCACAAATTCCCTTCCTCATCACAGTGCCAGTGCAAAGAGCAAGGACATCATTAGCAGCACCAGGCTCGCATCCTGGCTCTGCCACAGAGCTGCTGTGGGATTTGGACAGCTGTACCCATTGCCTGGGCCTCAGGTCTCCCCAACACTCTCCCTGCCTGGGATGCTTCACTTCTGAGCTCTCTGGCAGGTGCTCTAGGTACTGTAAATGATGATAAACACCGTACCACCTTCTGAACACCTGTCTTACCATCACAACAGATCATCTCACCAGCACAATGTACCAAAACACGTTATTTAGGGCAATAAGGCTGAGATATATCAGGTGATGGGGAGAAAATCAAGTATTACTACAAACAGCCTGTAGCATACTGTGTTGAGCCAGATCAGCATGACAGGATATTCATTCTAGGTGAGTTCTGGCCCCACACTAGCAGCGTGCAGAGCCTGCACAGGTTCCTCCGCATGGTGTTGCCTGGTGCTCTGCGAAGATGGATTATCTTTGGTGACGTGCCATAGTAACACATATGGACCCAGGTCAAGTCTGGCATAGTGTCCTGCTGCCAGTTCCTCGTCAGAAAAAGAAGTGTGGTGGCAAGCGAGGCAGAGGTATAGCAATGGCTCTGGGGAAGCAAGCTGTAGCTGGTGAGGCCAACTGGGACACCACACTGATGCTGGTGGCTGGCCCTGGACACACGCTGGGCACACAGTCCTCTGGAGCACAGTGCCAACAGCCTGGAATTGGCCTTGGTGGCAATACAGCTGTGTTTGTGCAGAGCTGCATCTGAGTGACACTCCTAAGAACAGCCCGAGCCTCAGCCACCCGAAAGTGGCTCTTGAGGGAGCCAGGCTGGGTGTGTGCACCCAGGACACACAATCCACAATTCTTATCAACAACCCACAGCTGAAAGTAAGTTGTCAGCACTCAACTGTTCTCACTAACCTGATCCCTTATTGTTTCAGGTATGCTGCCTCTTTGGTGCAGATCCCAAAGAAAAACTGGTGCCCATAAAGCACATCAGGAAATGTATAAGTAACATGGTGCCCATGAGCTGTTTGAGCTGCACATGGAGCTGGTAGAAATCTGTATTTCTAGTGTGGCAAGCTAATTGTCATCTGAAACGGGAAGGAACAAATGTAGACCCACCCTGAATAGCAGGGCAGACTGTAGCACATGGGTAGCATGGGTATTTCCATTTCATTTTACAGGGAATGCCCATGCAGCACTGGCTGTGCTAAGAGAATGGGCAGGCTAAAGCCCCCACTGCCTCCTAGTAAACCCATGCCCACTTCTTGGGGCTGTAAGAAACCATGCCTTCCTCCCAACCCCAAGTCTCATGATCTATATTGAGAAAACAAGGGCTGAGAGGTGGTACAGCAAGGGGAACTAGCTTGTTCAGGATTCTAAAGCAGAATGGGAATAAACAGAAGGTCTGAAATTCCTGCCCCTCATTCTGGTACTTTCTGGATCCTGAGACTACAACTCAATTTACATTATCTGGGTGTAGGTAAATTGTGCTGCCATTTTGGATTGAAAAGATTCATGATGTACTAATAAGAAGCTGGCTTCAGAGGAAAGGGTATTCTATAGGCTGAAGTTCTTGGTTATATAAAACATGGCAGTGCCACTGAACTGAAGGCATGCATATTAAAGTGTCCCAACAGCCATAGCAGAGACTACAATGTCCATAGCAGTGGACTGGAGACTAGCACTGTGCTGGCTGAGGTCATTAGTTTAACTCCTTATATTCTTTTTCTCTTGGTGTTAGAACTACTTTGAAAAAAAAGCAGTAAGCAGTCTTTGCCCCTTTGTGGAACTGAATGGTACACAGCATGGCTTACCTGGACAATTAGCTTATTTTCTTTATCAGGCAGAATTCGGTAGGTATAAACGCAATTCCGGAACCTGGAACAGATCAGAGGAGATATGGTTAGACCATCTCCAGAAGGGAATCACACCGTGGCACCCGTGCCCGCGAGAAAAGGTATTGGAAAATCCCAAGACACATAGATGGCTTCATGCACAAGTGTTTTAAACATTTCTGTGTATTTATTTCCCTGGAATCTGTGAACTAACAAAAGCCTAAAGTGTTCCTGGTCACCGAGACATATTTGCAGAAGTCACTGCAGAAAGTGATATCAGCATCAGCCTCAGAGTGAGTTATCCAACTCTTCTTCTGGCCGGAAAGAAAGAAAACACCAACTGGCTCTAGCTGTCAGTAGAGTGGGTGTATCAGGAAGGAATGAAAAAGCAGAAATCCAAATGACACAGGGCCAAAATCAGCAATGAATGAGTAAATTGAAGGGCTAGTATATGCATTGACTGGTATTGGGAAAAAAAAAAACCCCACAAACAACAAACAACAAACAACAGACCTCAGCTAAATCACAGTAAGACAGCTGTTCACTAGGCACATTTTTAGGCACAAATCCTAAACAATAGCCTAAATGAAAACCCATCTTGCTCTGCTGGTGCAGACGCACACTGTACGTGTACCTCTGTAGATCAGCCATAACGAAGATTTTGTCCTAGCTAAATTCAATTAGATTCTTATTTAAGGGGGAATAGAGGAATCTCTTGCCCAGTGGAGTGCCACATTAGCGCACAAGAGCCCAAGGGAAGCCTGAGCAGTGCTGTAACGTGGTAAGCATGACCTTCCTCAGCAGCTGCCGAGCTTTGTGGAGCTTTCCCAAGAAGTGTTGACTAAAAATACGTTTTTACCTTTCTCCCAAGTGAACAACAGATTGATCAAATCTTTTAAGTCATCTGCAAAACGCTGTTAAAACACACAGTATGGCCAGCAAACAATGCTGGTTTCAACCCCCTCCTCTCAAAGGAAGAAAGGGAATTCACTCTCAGAGCTTCCTTGGCTGTAACAAAAACCTGTGGAATCATCATGAAATGTGGGCCGAGGTCAGCCTCCCAGCTGGGGAGATCAGGCAGATCCATAAAACATCCTCATCTCTTTTACAATTATGTTGTGAGTCTATTAATCATATGCCTTTCAGAATCACTCTATGCAGGAGAGAGAAAGAGGTCGCCAGGATTTTAGGCAGCCTTATACAAGGAATCACAAAGAGCAATTGGAAATGAAATTACTTGTAAATCATAGCTGAGTTTTTCCAGGGTGTTTGGAGGATTTTGTCATGTATCCACATGAACCTGTATCTTTTGATGCATTAATACAAAGAACACAGAAGAATTAGAACTGCTCTCGGAGCTCAGTACCGCTTCACTAGGCAACGCAACACCATTTCACAGGCACCTATTCATTCACACATTTGATGATCTGGTACAGAACTGGAAGTCACAGACATGATCCCCAGTTGCTTTGGATTGCCACAACACTGCTAATTTCACCAAGCCCAGGGCAATCAACGCCATGAGGATGAGGATATGCCCCAAGGAAGGGTATGGGTTTTGGTTTTATCTGTCAATGCAGTTCTCTTACACCATTTCCTCCTGCTGGTATGCAAAGAGGGCTAAGCAGAACTGCTCATGCAGCTGATGAGAGAAAATTTGTGTGTGTGGAGATTATGAAACTGATAAACAAACCAGCTGAATGGCTCTTGCATCACAAGAGGACCCTCCTTGCTACCTTCCCAGAAAGTGCCCCATCACACAGGCCTTATGAGGCTGTTGTCATGATACTCGTAAAGAGGTTTAAGCTGAGGACAGGTAAGATCAGAAGAAGAGGAAGGCAAGAAGGGCTGATGGGTGGGACAGGAGCAGGGAGGAGCACTTCCTAGGATCAAAAGCAGGAATCCTTTTCAGCAGTCTCCTAATTCAGTGCATGCCGATGGAGAAGACTGGAACTCTTACTCCATTTCTACCATTAGGCTTTTTCTCCTCAGCACCCTAAGTGTCAAGTTATGTGGTCCCAATTACTGTCACATTCCAGGTCCTCCCTAAAAACTGGGTTGAGTTCAGAATTGCTCAAGCACTATTCAGGCTGTCTATGTGGGGGGTAAATATGACATCAGCCTCCACTTAAACATGTCTCCAAGTACTTTGTCCATTTCTCTGTCCTCTCAACCAACCAGAGAAGGAAGGTGGACAAGGCTTGTATTTTCTCTTTCATCTCCTGCGGTACATGGTTTTATGCACAAGAGATGATGTGGATATTGGGAGCACCTGGAAATCCTAGACAGGGCTGCCATGCTAGGCATGGTGCTAAGTGCACCACAAGAGAGGCCATCCTCCCAGGGGGTTGGAAATGGCATCATCTCACAGGCAGTGTCCTCTGAGAGGGAGCCCAAAGCTGCAGCTAGCCTTTGAGGCTAACCTTGCAGCCATTCACACTTGAATCACCAACAGAAGATCCCCTGGAGGCATGATACCGGTTCAGGTGCAGCACACTGTGAATGCTAAGCAGGCTCTTTTTGATTTCAGGATCCAGGCATTCCCCTCCAGGTAAGTTAAAGAGCCCATTTCTTGTCCATAAACTGGCAGATCAAATGATCCAGGCACAGAGAAAGAAGGAAGAAAATGGCTTTGCTTCTTGCCTTTTATGGGGCAGTGTGACCAGTAGAGCAGAGGACAGTAGTGCAGGGGGAGGAGCGTTCCCTCTGCTTTTGCTGTTTCAGCTCTCTGCGAAGTTTAATGCTGCTGCTTCAAGTTTCAGAAAAGGAGGGGAGGCACTCTTAAAAGGCTCAGCAAATACACCTCCCTTACTTGTCTATATTTATACAAACTCTGTTTTCCTAAAGCAGCTCTTAAAGAAAATGCCTATTTCATTCTATGATATAATAATAATATGTGCTTTTGCTGAATTTTGACTGATCTGCCCAATAAATATTAGAGCTTTGTAGAATATGACATTTCTTTTTCAGAGCAAATTTCATGGGTTTTTTGTTTTTCTTATCTATACACAGTTGGCACTTTCTCACTTTCAACACAGTTCTCTTTTTGTGAAAACCTTTTTCAGTCAGGCTTTCAATTCCCCCCTCTCTCATTCTTTGCTTCCAGCCTCTCTATTTTTTTAAACAGAAGTAACTGAAGAGCTCCAACTTCAAACACCTTCCAGTCAATAACACAGCTGAAACTGATAAATCTCTGAGAAAGTTTTCAGCTTCAGCAAAGCTGCCCATTTTGTCAAGATGACATTCAGAGGGAAAGACTTATTCACCACCTTTAACCCTTTCTCTTCACAAACTAATGCAAACCAGCATAAGCCAAAAGCTCATTAGGTACTTTGACAGAGGTTTATGTGACGTTTTTCAGACTGTAATTAATGCCAGCCCTTCGCACCACAAATCCGCCTGCTCTTGGCTGACAAGGCTGGGTGCTCCCCATTTCTTTAATCAAGCCACTCATGTTAGCCACCTCAGAATGGATTTAAGAACATAACGTTTGGCTTGCGGTTCAGAAAATCCTGGTCATGATATTGTTTCTATTTCCTGATCCCATGTCTCTCAAGTCACAAAAGGCTTTCAAAGTTGGCTGTGTAAACATTTACAATGGAAAAACTTATGCAAATACATGTTAGTAGACATTTTTACAGCACTTTCCCTTTCTATAATCCCCACCATCACACTATAAAAATTATTTGTGTACATGCTGGTTACAAGGCAAATCAAAAGGGTCATACTAAAAACACTCAATGGAAGCAACGGTGTATTCTAGTAACATGTTCCCTGACCTGCAACTTGGGCCCGAGGCCTGCGCAACCTGATTGCCCCTCCTTCCTCCTGCCTGTCCTGGCTATTCATCTGCAGCCACCCTTCTTTCTCCGCTCCCTCCAGAAAGACAAAACTCTTCCCCATGTTATTACAAACATCTTAACAGGCATGTACAGAGGCTTTCTGCACTTTGTGAACACCCCCATTACCCAGCCACTGATCTCTGACAGTCCAACGCCTACACTTACAGGGCAGTTACCCAGCCCCATGCTTTCCTGCAGATGAATCCTCTGCAGTAGACTGTGCTGTCACCAGAAGTTCAACCTCAAAGACAAGCAGTTAGACCAGAGTTGTAAACAGCAGCACCACCTTCACCACTGCAAGAAACATGCTTTCAGAAACTACACTGAGAAACCTGCTTGTATTTTAATATGGGGTAAGGATGAAGTAAGTTTTATTAATCTGCTGCACAATGGCAGCAAAGAGGATCTGACAGGCAGAACAGGGTCCCAGAGAGGCTCTTTTGATCTCTCCTAAGCAAAGAACAACCATCTTCTCTCTCTCTAATGCAAAGTCAAATGCTTCATCCTTCACCTACTGAATTCAATCTCCTCTTGCCCCTGCACTCCTGCCTCCAGGAATAACACCTGCCCTTCACAAACCCAGGACAGGAGGCCTTGCTCTCCGGTCCCTAGCCCCATCCCAGAATGGGGGGTCAGGGCTGCCAGCACTTCTCTCCTCTCCCTATTTCCCATATAATGGGAAAATATGAAATATTTACTCTGTAAGCCACATCCATGATGCAGTTAGAAATCACTGGTGTGCTGGGTGTATCATGCACAGCTCCAGGAACTGTTTGAAGCCTTTTGCTGAATGGTATACAGCATTGTACAAGCAGGCGGGTCAAACATATGCTGAACCAGGGTGAGAAAAGTGCCTGGGAGGGTACCAAGCTCCATACTTGAGCTGTTAAATGTAAATATCTGACCCAATTTGTTAACAGGCTCAAAGAGGTCAAGAGGTTATTTTCTTTCAGAGCACAGCCACAGCATCTTTGATTATTCTCTCCTTTTGAATCAGGGGCAAGAGTAGCATGAGCAGTACAGCAGTAAAAGAATATGGGGTTTGTTCAGACTGGCCCTGCTCCCAAGCCTTCCCTACCCTGTGGCCCAGTCAGGTGAAACCTGCCATTCTCTGATGTGGGATGCACCTTCCCAGTGGGTACAGTGGCTGTTTGCCACCGTGCTGGAGAGGGTGCAGGGGGTAACACCCTGCCAAAGCATGGACAAAAGTGTCCATGTAACGCGCGGGGTTGAAAGCTGTACTTACAGCACGCAGAGTGCATATGCCGAAGCAACTGACTCACTGGCCCGCACAAGGAAGCTGCCATCCTTGCCTACTTTGGAGAGCAGGTCTTCGGCTCTGGAACGAGTGATGTTGCCGTGGTACCAGCACTGATCCATCGCTGGAGCTGGAGGAAACCTGAATGCCAATACAGGAGCTGCCAGAGCTGCCTGTGTGTCTGTGTGTAACGATCAGGCAGCTTCAGCTCACCAGCTTCCTGTTTCAATAGTACAGAGAGGGAAAGGAAACTCAGCCGCGGACAACTTCCTCAACTCAAACAGCTCAGAGTGAGCGTGACATGTTCCTGCAGCCCCCGCTCTCCCTCTTCATGCTGCAACTGAAGTGACTAGCAAGCCCGTGTTCCCTGCTTTTCCCTCCCCCTTCATGTCCTAATACTCCATATCAAAAAGTCCCAGCTGGGGATCTCTCCTGCTTGCCCACCAATTCAGTCCCCCAGGCTTTGGTGGCCTGCTGTCCCATTTACGATCTCTTGCAGACCCTTTGAGTCTCCATCTTTTTCCTGTCTGTCTGACCTACACACTACAGGTCTCCACAAGGAATAAATAAATCTCAGACTGACCAGAAACACACTGTGCATTGGATACTTGGCACTGACTGCCCCATTCCTGCCTTGTCTAGTCCTCATATCTAGCTAGGTGTGAGGAGGGGACTTCAAAGAACTGAAAAAAAAAAATTACCCCTGCATGTTTCCATGCACAGAAGCAGACTTAGAGGCTGATTTGCTCCGGGGATTTGTGACCAAAGCTCCCTGCCAGCTACAGAGATGGATTCAAAGATCTTTCCTACTCTAAATCCCCAAAGGTGGAATAGAGAAAAGCCATCTTTTAATGTCTGGCAACCTGCGTCAAAGAGGGGAGAACTGGAGCTTTCACTTCCCTTTTCTTTGCACATCTGCCTCCTGTCTATGTTGTGTGGCATGCTCAGTGCTGCATCTCCAAGGCAGAGCAATGAGGGGCATGTTTGCAGCAATGAAGGACATTGCTACAGGGGCACTGCCTGCACAGCAAATTTGGTTGCCTATCCTGTACCTCCAACCACTCTGCCTTAGAAGGCAGCAGTTCTGCACATCTACGTTTGAGCTATACCTAAAAGCAGCAGCTGAGCTGGGACTCTGTCTGAGACTCAGACTACAGAGTCTGAGGGAGAGAGTTCCCAGGAAAGGCATAGACACTGTTAGCCCTATGCAACCCTCACCTCCCAGAGCCAGAAGTGCTGGAACCATGGTACCCGGATCACATGTGGAGTGCTGCCCCTGTACACAGCATGGACAGCAAGGCAGGAGGGAGCAGTCTACCACCAAAGTGGGAGACTAGAATTTCTGGGTATGGAGAGCATTTGTCTGCTGGCCTTCCTGGTGCTTTCAGTTAACCAGACATATGCTGCGCAGTGTCAAGCTTGATCTCTGCCATTGAGATTAAACTGTGGGCACCAGCAATTCAAAGTCGTGCAGCCAGCACAGGACCCTGCTAAATGGGCAGAACTGCAACATGCAGGGCTTCCTGTCCACACTGAGCAAGCACTGTCTACAGACCAAAATTAGCTCATCGGGATGTGCCCTTCAGCTTCACCCAGATCCATATAGGGCTTCAGGAGCCAAACTCCCACAGATTCAGGTGTCCTGATGGAGTCAGAGGCTGAATGCCACAAAGTGGCTCTGCATGGACAGTAGCTGTAAGCTCTTGTAAGCTACAGAGTGGTTACAACCCTATTTTCTCCACTGAGATGAGTGTCTGCAAAGGGACTCTGCAGCTCCTTTGACAGTCCTGCCTGGCCATAGTGTGCTGCTAGCCTCACCTGTACCAGCTCCTTGGGATTTCTGATACTTACAGTAGCTTCTCTGGAGCACAGCTGCAGCAGGAAGAAGAACAGCTCTGAATGTCAACCCGCTGCTTGACCTCACAGTGCTTTCCATGCAACGGACCTGTATGTGGATGTAGAGTGGACAGAGCTGCTGCACAACATGAGTTTTGCTGGAATGAAACTGTGTTTGGAGAGCTTCTCCTGACCTTCTGCAAGTTAACACAAGGTAATAGAGAGATACAAGCCCTGGTTAGACATCTGAGACCGATTAGCTGAGCTGTATACTTAACACTTAACTCCTATCCATCCCGCCACCAACTTCAGTTTTTAGCAAGTTGCTGCTATTTCCTTCAAATGTGTGAATCCCCTGTCCAGCCACACACAACTCCTTGACTTGAAGACATAAGCAAGGGGATAGGATCCAAACACATGTCTGACTGTGGCAATAAGATGTGCAGGCTTGTTTCTGTGAGTATTTATTGGTTCTAAAAGAAAGCACAGTACAGCTCTAGCTGCTCAAAAGGTGAATTCCAATCTCCTAACATAAACAGCTCCGTGATCCCTAATGGCTCATTTGCAATGCTGCCTGAAGAGGAAATGGCATCTGTTTTACTTCTGCAGCACTGGAGAAAGACCAATACCTGGGTGGTCAGCAAACAAGTGTGTGTGTATCCTGAACTACCCGATTTCCAAAGGACAGCGGTGACTTCTTCTGTCCCACACAGAGACAAGAGGCTGTTCTGCAGGAGATATTTACACCATTCATTTTCTTTCCATTCATGCCTGTGTCAGAGAAGGCTGGTGAGTAGATCTGAGGAAGAAGAGATTAGAAAAGTTATCTACAGGGGAGCTAGAGTGCTTGCCATAGAGCAGGAGTGAAGCAATCAGCCTGCACCAGTTACATGTCAGGTGATAGTACAAAAGTAACCAGCACAGACCTAAGGTTTCCACAAGGAATAGGATGTGCTTCGAATAGTCTACACCGTCACCCCACAGTCAGGACAAAGCACCATCTAAGAGCTACCCTTGTAAAACAAAAGAATAATGGGTGCATCTGTCAGAAAAATCCAACCCAGACTCAACAGAAGCTTTCAGTTTAAATGAAATACTGCTGCTGCAGTTATCTTACTTGAGGGAATGAGGCCACAGACAAAGAACTGGGACACGTTTTGATGTTGGATAATCAAAAAGTGCAGCCCTTGCAGTCTATGGACAAAGCAAACATTACTTTTCCCCACGTTCGGGTTCTATTGCAAGCTGTCTCTTAGACATTGCAATTAACGCTTTATCTAAACTGGGTTTGCTACAGATGTCCAGGTAGTATTGTGCCAGCTGGCTGTGAACTCACCAGCCTGTCCAGAACCAGTGGGTAAATACTGTCTGTAGCATATTCAAGATGCACAGTGACCATCTAAAACTCCCACATATATCCAGCCTGTGCACTACATCAGCATGGGCACTACCAGGCTTGGTTGGATGAAAAGTTCTCAAAGATGTATTTTGATGTCATGAAACAAAAGTGTTTCATAGTATGCTGGACAAGGGAGGTTAAGTTATAGGACAGCAGTTAGCTTTACTGAAGTCTAAATATAACATTCCCTCATTAGGCATCAGTAAGAAGCTATTGGCCACCAAGGTGTATTTAGGGCCGACAGCTAAAGAGCACATGAGTAATACTCACAAAGTACTGGTTAGCTGAGCCACTCTGTGCTACTCCAGCCCAGCATATTACTGACCTGCTGCTTGGGAAAGGCTCAGTGAATTATACCTGTATTTGTGAAGGCCATGAGATCCCTGCACTCCCTTGGTGCCTCCAGGTGCCCTGAAACAAACCTAGATAGTGAGAAAAATCAGGGGCTCTTCTCCCATTACCTCTGAAAGCTATCAGCAATAAAAGGCAAGGGTGGGGGCAATGAGCAAGCAGAGACTCACAGACCTGAGCAGTGACAATGCAAAGGATCCTATGGGACCTGACAGGGGATTCATTCCGAGAGCGCTCTGGAAAGCGAGTATTTTTCTTCACCGATAAAGCAAACAAACATATTTTCCTTAGAGCCATTCCACACTTGCACACACACAGAATACAGCACACAGCAAACAAGCACAGACTGGTTCACAAAGCAGAATTTTGTCCAGAGGCATAGGTAAAGCTTTCCTAACTCCATCTGCTTGGACGTGTCTCTCTTGGTACCCATTCATTCCTGGTCACTCCCCTTGTCTACTCACTGCATAATGCCTCCTTTCAAAGCACACCATAGCCTCAGAATAGTCTCTCTCTCACCAAAACTGGGACTGTTTCCTTCAGAAACCTGCTGAAAATCTGTCTATGTTGGAAAGCTTTCCAGCTTGAGCATTCTCATGCTGCTCCGGGCTTGGTCAGGTCCCCTTCCTCTGACACCTGTGCCTTTGCAATTTTCTGGAAGCACAGCAATATTATTTGTTTCACACACTGCCTCGTATGCCAATAATACTCTAATAAAAACAGCCATGCTTGCAAGACATTGGGTTGTCAGCAATAAGAGCAGTTGCTGTGTGGATCATAGCTTAGCACTTGTTTTAGAAAGACCAGCGAGTATTTCCCCTCCTGACCATAATTTGGGAGCTCCCTCTGCAGACCTCTCCTGATCCTGCAGTTTCAATACAGGCAAAAAGCCATTTCTGCCACTTGCCCTGTCCCCCAACATGGGGAGGTCCTGGTGTCCTGCATGGGTCCTGCTGCTGCTGCCCAGGGAGAGGAAACAGCTGGAGCACATGAGGCTGTGGTTTTCTAACACATGAGAAACTGCAGCTTCTCAGAAGCAAAAGGGCAAATGAGCAAGAACATACAGCATGGGAAGTAAGAAGAAGGGCAAATTAGACAGAAGTCCCTCGGGGAGCCTAGGAACTCAGCAAGGCAACCCTAAATCCACTGTGGAAGTGGGCAAGGAATATCCCAAGAGCAAGACATCCCATGGCCTTGGTGAAATGTGAAGACAGCAAGCTCTGAAAGCCAGAGTTGCCAGCAAGTTGCTACACTGACCGCAAGAAGCAGCACACGTAGCTGGAGCCAAAGCAGTTTTCTGAAGAAGGGAACTGCAGATACAGGCAGTAAGCCCAGTGTCCTCTCTAGCACTTTCTCCGCAACTTACTAAGTACAGCTCAGCATAAAATCACTGCTCTCCTCAGGCCCTGCACTGTCAGTGTGCGCATCCCTAATTAAACCTACTGAGGCCTCAAGGCAAGAGGCCCTACACAAAGGTTTTAAGCATGTGATGTTTATAGATGGCAGATGAAGGGAAAGGCAAGAAGGGAGAACAGGCAACAGAAAACAAAACCAAATCCATGTTCAGTTTTAGTACGTTTAATAGACTTTGTAATCTGTAGACACCACAAGCCAATGCCAAACTAAGGGTGCAAGAGGAGTTCAAAATCCTTTTGCTGAAAGATGAGAAGTGGCAGTGAAAAGAAGTATCAACAAAAAGGTGGGTTTTAGAGGGATGCTGATGGAAAGGCTTGAGATCAGCACTCTGATGGAAATGCTTGCTTCAAAGTGAACATTACAAATATTATCTCTTCACATTGTTGGCGGGTCCCATATTCAAAGAGGCAGGAGAACAAGGGTGAGCCATCTGGCCCAACCCCTATGTACTGCAGATCCGAATAAGCACACAGGCCCTTGAAGAGGATGCTTGGTTTTGTCCAGCATGCTGGATTTAAAGGGCTTTTGTTGAGGTAAATTCCTAAATCTCTTCGACCCTTTGGGTCTGTAGGATGAGTGTACAGCAACCAACTATCTTGGCATCTGACATCAGAGGGAGGTGGGAAGGCAGTAACACTTCCATGACATCCAAAGGGAGGTTCTACTAGCATTTCAACCCGCTGGCCTTCCTCAAAGTCCACCCCGTAGTTGTAGCTGACAGCCTGGATTCTGGCTCCTCTGCTGCTCCTTGCATTGCAGTAGAGGACCTTCCTGCCACAGGTGTGTATCTCTGCTACCTGGCACTCCACTGCACTCTCCTCCTCCACGAAGTTCCCCATCTCCCATGTTGTCCCGTGGTCAAAGCTGAGGAAGCAGAAGGCATGAGGGGTGGGGCGTTGCTTAGGGTCCAAGATACGATACGCATAGGCAGGAATTACAAGGCTCCGGGCCTCGTTGAGCAACTGTAATCCATGACCCGGCCCCACTGCAAAAGTGGCCCAGTTCTTGTACTCAGTGCTAATGGTATCATTGGTGACATCCTGAGCAGTGCTCCAGGTGCATCCTTGGTCCATGCTAGTGACGTAGCAGAGACGTACCAAGTTGATCTTCGTCCTGAGCTGATGCTGCTCAGAGATTTTTCCTGGGACAGCTATGAAGAACAGGATCAGTTTTCCTGAGACCTCATCATAAACAGGACAGGGGTTCATAGATCGGTGGTGTTTCAGCTGTGCACTGACAATGGTCTCCATGCTATTCCACTGCCAGGGCCCGTGTGAAGGGAGACAAGAATGAAACACACGATTACATATAGATCCACGTTACAGCATAAGGATGCTTGGATAAAAGTTACAGAAAAGCACGAGAAGAACAGAAGAGGAGCAAGAAATGGGATGACAATATACTGGCATTGCCAAGCATAAGTGAAAATTATTTGGATGACACAATGCAGGCGCACTTCACCAAACAGGTGGGTTATGTCCTTTTTAACTACTACTCACTGAGGAGCTGATAGCTTTGTCTCAATGTAGCTAGTGTCTGATGACACTGTTTGAAAAACTGCAGTAGCCGAATTTTCAGAAATTCTCACAAATAGATATCTATGACACACAGACATGGCCAGTGGTCAAAGTGTGCTGGTACAGACACTGTGCTGTGTCAGTGTTTCTTAGGAAGTCAGCTAGATAGCTGAGCCCTTTTCAGGTATCTTGGATGCTGACAAATTCCTTTCCATTATGACTCCTATTCCTTCATTTTGATCCATGTGTGAATGGGCATTCCAGCTTACACTGAGGCACCTTGCTAGAGCTGATTGCATGGCTTTCCACACTCTGGTGTGGAAATTTGGACCCTGAGTTGTATGACGCAGAAAATAGGCTGCAGAGCAGGTAGAACTACCCTCCAAGCCTTGTCTTTCTTTACATGAATAGCGCATAACACAAACACATTTCTAACACCAATATTGCAATTAGAAAATTATTCCTACATAGTGTAATTGGCTTGGGAAAAGAAGCACTATGTTCCAGTAAGATTATACTAATTAGCTTTTCTACCCTGACTTGCTGATTACCCTTTTTGGTCACGTCTTATCTTTGTCTACTCAACCAGTATTAACATTTTTTTGGATATTTAATATTTCCACTTTAAGAAACTCTAGCATGTGAACAAAAATTACTAAGTTTATGACCAACTGAGCCCTACTTAACTAAATTACAGGGGGTTACACAAGATGTTACCTGAATGGAATGACACTGCAGGTGCACTCAGAGGCTGCTTCTGCTAGGCAGACTCCAGCTCTTAATCTAAGACAACCAGTCACCAATGAAGGATTGGAATAGAAAAATATAATGACTTCTTTTTTTTTTCCCCTAAGACATTAATGCATTTGCAAATGCAAAAAAAAAATTATAAATAGAGTATCCACCACCCCCAGTCACCCAGCAAGATAACTGTTAATAATAACTGGTAGATTAATAAGGTAG